CCCAGAATCGGTACTGGTTCTGGACTCAAGTGTGAAATTCTCTAAAAATGTAGTTGGATACCTATGTGATCCTTTTGTTTTTAAAAGAAAACAAAGAAATGAGCCAGTATCAGAAAATGTTAAATAAACAAAAAGTTGTAAAAAAAAATACATATAAAGATTAATCTTACCGATTTGGCCTGGTGAGCGAAGCCCCAACCCCAGAGTCTCTCCTCTCTCTAATTCCTGTAGATTCAGTTTCATTAAGTGAAACACCATCCCTGTCCCCATCACTGGGGGTAACCTGCCCCTCCAGCACTGAGTGACCCTCCAAATCCAGCGTGATGTGACTCGAGGACTGCGTGTTCCCTTGACCTTTCCCCTCCTGCTCCACCTTGCCCTTTTCCACACTCTCTCCTGTTGGCAGAACGTTCTTGGACCAGTGATCCACAATCTGCTGCAGGCCATTCACATGCTGTAGGATATCATCCAAGTGTGGGAACAGGTCCTCTTTTTCCAAATCGATGAGGTCCCCGGTGCTGGCGTAGAGATGTGAGCCAGGCACGTTGTCGTAGATGCTGATGCGGCTGCCACGTGAGCAGCACTGTGTAACGGGTCTCTGCTCTTTCATGCTGGGCTGACGCTGGGCTTCAGGAACCCTGCTGAGAGGTGCAGCTGTGGGTGAGAGACTCTCAATGGAAAGAGCTTTCGGGAAGGTTCCAGGCTTGTGGTCTTTTGGGATGTGCACTACCAGGTCTTCGTACGAGCGGAATTCATTGCGTTTACCCTGGACAATTCCGGAGAAGACATCCAGGTCATCCAGGTACATGCCACTGCGCTTGTGCTCAGCACGGTGAGCTTTGCGTTCCTTCAGGCTTGGAGTGCTGACAGTGCTGCCACTGGATTGGCTGCTGCTACCTTCACTGCTCGAGTGTGAACTCAAGACACCATGGCCATTAATCTCCACGCACTGGAGAGCCTTCAAGGCTCGAGGCTCATGCTGAAGAATGGGAGCGCTGATTACCAATGTCCTGTGCCCATTTTCTGCTGCCTCACGAGACCGCAGAGTCTCCATGCGTCGCAGGAAGTCCTTGGCCCGCGTCCGGCCCAGCTTGCCATGCTTGACAGGAAGTGAGGAGTAGCAAGGATGGTCTGAGGAATGATGGGCAATCCCTAGCTTGGGCATGGCACGGCGCGAGCTGTCCGAGTCGTCCGCACTGTGAGCTCGGACTCCTGTGCTTCCACTGCTGCTTTCGCTGTGCAAGGATGAGACGTCAGGCTCGCTCAGGTCTGTCAGTACACTCTCACTGCTGGGTGTGGCCCGAAGAACTGACTCTTCCCCTGGTTCCCGGGGCCCCGCCTCATCAAGGAGACGGGACCAGCGCCTACTGCTCCATTCAAAGGTCCATTTGTCGCTAATGGCAAACAGGTCATCTGAGTCTGAGTCCTCACTCTGTAGGAACAAGAAAGTAGCTATGTTTACATGCAGCCTAAACATTGGCTAGTCTTCAGGTACTAAGTTTGCAAGATTTAAAAACAACTTCAACTGAGGCTTTTTCAGATGCAAACTATTTTTGTGTACTGTCCAACAAACATCTGAAGTATGTTTTGCTGAGAAACACACACATAAAACCTCCAGAAATCACCACAGTCAAGGTGTTGGTAACAAAATAGCTAACATCAGCTATTTCTTACACTCGGACAGGACTCGCTTGTTGTTGTTACAAAAAGTAGGAAAAAACAATCCATTGGAAAGGTATGTGTTGTGAGCCTCCTAAAGAGGTCCTACTTGATAGGGAAACAAACTTTTGTAGAGTTCAATATAGAAACTTCAGGGATTCCCTCAGAAGGACAATCCACAGAAAGCTTTACATTTATACATAATCATTTGCAGTAGATATGTTTGGTTTTTTTAGGAGACCTGCAAAGAATCTGCAGAATGAGTTAAATCAGACTGAAGAGCATTTTTGTATATTAACGCAGACAGTGTAGACAAAAGAACTGAAAAAAAAAAAAAACACAACTGAGGTGACTTTTCTCCCAGGAAATACACAGAGAAACACATTCTCTCACAAATAAAATAGTCTGATCATTAAAAAAAAAAAACAATAAATGAAAATGAGGCTATGATGGAAAACAAATTTTATATCACGAATTCAACAATAAACTAAATTAAAATTAAAAATACAATTAGTCAGATGCGAGCTAAACTGTAAAACAAGTGCTACGTAACAAAAAAAGTATCGGTTTCCTGCCAGTGCCTTTTGTTCCATTTTATAGTGACGTTAACAATGTAAAACAAATCTCTGTCATACAGAAGGGAGAACAATTTGCTTAAAGGTGTTTTGTTAGCGATAATGCCCTGATCAACTCCCACCATACAATGAGGGATTATCAAATATCACAGAATCTATACGGGGAGGATGAAAAGCGCATGTGGAAACTGAGTGAAAAGGAATGTGGTTCTTTAAATATGCAAAAATAGCTCTTCCACTCACATAATAACCAGGAAATGTGAGGCTCATGTGGTCAAGTGAGCCATATAGAATCACTGAAAAAAAAAAAAAAAAAAAAAAACCTCAGTTACACTTACCTTCTTTTTGGGAAGATTCACGTCCAGTTTCATAGAGGCACACTTGTTTAACGTGTTGAGTCGTCTGCGTAAGAAAGAAATAAAAAGAAAAATGTACAATCGAATCAAAGATGAAAAGATCGATATTTGCTCAAACCTTCTTGAAAAGCAAGCCTTCTGCGCTCGACGTGAGATACAGCAGCAGTGGGGAAACTGTTTCTAACTTAATCTGATAAAGAGCTCGTCTCTTCCTGACCAAACACTAGCTCTGGCTAGCAGTAAACCCAATTAGTCGGAGAAATCAGCTCCATGCTCTGGTTCTAATTGGTAGAGCCTGCTGAGCAGCAGCAGCTGTCCTGCTATGGCAAGTAGCTGAAGAGCTTTTAATATGGTGCTACAAACTTTCTGTTGTGTATCTGACAAGACAGATTACTGGTGTTTCTTTTTTCTAAAAAAAAAAAAAAAAAAAGGAGGCTGTTCTGTAAATAAGTAGTTCGGGCTTCAAAGTTTCTATTGATGCATCATAGTTTCTAACAGACAAACAGCTAACACAGGGACGTGTATGGTGGATGCTGCACATAAATGGATAAACAAAACGTGTGGAGGAGATGTTTACTTAGATGTTTTATGGAATGAGTCTCCAGTGACAGGCAGGTTTTCTGACATGATGAAGCCTTAGCGCTCTTTCAGTCACATGACAAGTTTAGTTTTAATCTCTTCGTTTCTTTTGTTTCCTTCCTTTTTTTTAACTCAAGGAAGAGAAAAAAAAAAGAGAGGCTGGTGAGAGAACGACTGTTTATAGCTGTTAGAACGTAAGAGGATAAGAGGAACTAACTAACTATAAACGGATAGAAAGTACAACATGTCACACTTTAAATAAGAAGTAATTGTAATTGTGTTTTTCATTCCTGACTTAACAATATCTCTAATAAACAGTAAATAGAGAGCCTTGGTCTCTTGGAGCTTGGCTGCTGAGGCTTTGTGGGAAAGCTGGCTCGAGGTATTAATAGCCGCTGAAAACAACAGCAGTAAAGATGGAAACAGTGATGACACATTCCATGCAAAGGGCATGTGCAAGGAAACGGAGGATAGCAGGATTTACAGTATGTTGATTATGGCTTTTATGACAAATTATTGTTTGGAAAAAGATTCTTGACTGTTTGATGACAGTGAAGCCCTAAAACAAGGCAGATAAATGGTAACGTCAATGAGATATAATGCTATAGAAGCAGGAATGACTGGAAACTTTCAGAAGCGAGGATAAGGATTTATGAAAAACAAGACAAGTCACGTGAAAGGATCTAAATCCTAAAATATGGTGTGCTAACCCAGGCCGTATTAGGTATTAAAGGGTCTTTACTGTTTTATAAATGTAAGAAATTCTTATTTTTCTTCTTTTTTTGATACAGACAAATTATTTGAAGAGTTTTAAGATAAATTTATTATTACAAAAAAAAGTGGATATCATTAGGTCATGGTGAACAGACTGAAACAACACTAGATTACTGAGCTAACTGTCAGTGCATTACATCATTTTATTATATCATTTTATTTCAAATTGCCAAATGCCAGAGTGTCGATATAGTCGACTTCTTTCATGGAGAGCTTGCAGTATTCTTACGGAAAGCTTATTTGATGTTCTCTGTAACAACCATAGTCTGTCATCTTCATTTTCTATCCAGTTTAAGTTTAAACAGCAGCAGCAGCATAATGGTATTATGTCTCACTCCCTCGAGAGATCATTTTTTGGCAATGCACGCTCAGTTGGTACACAAAACCCACAACATGGGCCTCATTTTCCAAGCTGGATATGAATTTATTTGAAACTCAATCACAGGAACGTTTAGAGAAGAAGTGTGGTGTTTATGAAAATCCAGTTAGTTGGGGAAAAAAAAATGTTAATATCCTACTAGAGCTCCTACATGTAAGGAGACTCACTAATCAATTGATCAGCTTCAAATCGTATAATTGTTGATGAGTTACTGAGATTTTTTTATACGGATTACACCGTCATGTTTAAATCACTTATTTATTTCAATTACACACAAACTTACAGAACGTTTTGGGAAAATGAGTCATTTCATATTAATGATTTGAAAGACAGCAATCCAAAATAAATCCGTAAATTAAGACAAATAAGACTAGCCATTCAATTAGGACAAAAGTAATGGCACGCTAGAAAAAGAGTATGGTATTATAGCCACTGCTATGGCTGAGCTGCATTACTGGAAGATTTAGTGCATGCTGTGCTTGGTGGAGGTGCTTTTTGACCTTTTTGTCCTCTTTGTGAGCTTTGCCTTTTATAAAGTTTTGTGGGTGTCACTAACTGTAAATCACACTATCCTATACTATATACTATAGCCTAAAGTTCACCATTAAATTATGGTGGATGGTAGCACACTGACACCCTAAAGAGGGCTGTGGGTGTAGTTCCATGGACAGACTGGGGGCAGTCGTGGCCTAATGGTTAGAGTGTCGGACTTGTAACCCGAAGGTTGTGGGTTCAAGTCTCAGGGATTGTAGGTGGGGGGAGTGAATGACCAGCGCCCTCTTCCTCCCTCAATACCATGACTGAGGTGAGATACCAGATAGATAGCTATAGATACCAATACCACGACTGACCTGAGCAAGGCACCGAATCCCCAACTGCTCCCCAGGAGCCGCAGCAAAAAAGGCTGCTGTTGTTACAAGAGCTACAAGAATAAAACTGAATTGAACTGTGCCGTGAATGTGCTTGATTATAAGAAAATCAGCTTTCCTGAAACTTTTGTAAATACAGCAGGAATGTTTAGTTTGGTTTGGCCAACTCCAACATTTACGACACAAACTTTACTAAACAAGGCTCAATAAACCCAATACACAAAAGAAAACCGTAACTAGTTGTTAAATTACAAAACTGTTTTTTCCCCCCACTGAATGGTATTTAGGAATTTTTTTAGGAACTTAATCAAAATTACATCGAGCCGTGAAAAAAAAAAAATAGAAATTTTTAAAAAAGCATTTTAGGAGCATTTTTTTTTGTCTTTCAAGCATTTGTGCGAACCCTGTAGAGAGATCTTCTGATGTAGTTTTAAGCACATAGAAATAGACTAAGCTTTCTATACAATGGACACCAAATGAGACATAAGCAATTCAATGTTGAACACACACACACACGCACACACACACCCACACACACACACACACAAGCTGCAGAGTGTTAGTAATATCTAAATATCAGGCATGATTGGACATCAAGTTAAAGATCACACTATTGACCCAGCCTCTGATGCCTAAACAGTGTGTTATAGAGGAGATTTCTCAGTATTATACACACTGGAATGAAGTTGTTGCCTCCCTGAGGATTTGAGAAAGGAGTGAAAAGTCACGGTGAATGAAGGCGAGAAGCAGGAGGTAGCGGCATTGTTTGGTCACAACGGCGAGCTGGTTTGGAATTTCGATGAGTTGCTGAAGGGTTGTTTAGAGTCGGAGCGGAGCGAGTCGTGTGAAGCACGTCTCGCTCTCCTGCCCCGTGCTTTCCTACCGTCCCGGTCTCCATGACGACCAGAATCGCTGGACTGTTTCTTTTCACATCAATATGTACATGCACAACCAAGCACTGAATGAAGCAGGAGAAGCTCAGCTCATAGATACTATAGTCCCTTATGACCCTTCAGCGTGTAATCAGTGAGTGTAATAAACCACGAGAGAAGCAATTAAAATAAAATAAAATAAAATAAACATGTTATTTAGAAGTCTGCTCTTACAGGATATGCTCGTCAACACTAAATACACCGATTATGATCAGAGACAAGGATAACAACCGCTGACAAATAAATGTCCAAATTTATAAAAAAAAGAATTTAAAAGGACGGCCCAGCAATGATCAGTAGTGACTTTATAGTGCACTACACTAAGTGCACTACTTACGTAAGATTGAGCCATATACTGAGTTTTTGTGGGTCATGTCTTGTCTGTGTATCTTCCTGTTTCATGAGCTGCAGTTGGGTTTAGAAGGCGACTAAATTGTGTTCATCATTATTACTGTTGCTGTTGTGGTTGTTAATTTTATTATTATTATTTTCTTACTCCTTTCTTTCTTCCATATGTTTTCCCCTGTTACTTAAATGTCATAGTTGAATGAGTAAGGGTGTATATGGGGGGAACTCACTACTGCCTAAAAGTTAACACTCTATACTTGCATTATATGCTGTATAAGATGAAATTGGAAATGATTTAAGTGTGAAGGTCAAAAGAAAGACAGGTTACGGCCAAAATTCTTCAATTTACTTGACTTGTTGAACTCAAGTTATTTGGTCATTTATTTAGTATCTGAGTAACTGTTAGTCTGGGAACAGGTCCATTTCTACACTCGTGCTTTAGCACAGACCGATGCAAACCTGCACAAGCTTTTCATCACAAGAGATCCAGGACAGGCCCTGCATTAAGTATACTATACATAATCATTTCTTACCGGCATAAAGGCTCCACAAGGTCTTTGTCCAAGAAGTCATGATCTTTCTTTACAGGAGTGATGTCGATGGGAAACTGTGAATCTACAAAGAAACATCAAAATGCCCTTTACCAAACATCGCAATGCATTACATACCTGCTGTTTTTCATTCTGATAATGAGCTATTAATTGTTCCTTAATAGAATGAGACTAAATGTTTTTGCATGTTCACATTAAAAACAGAGGCACTGAGCTCTTCAAGAAAAAAAAACAACAAAAAAAAAAAACAAAATCAAAAACACCACATTCTTTCCACAAGTGATAGCCAAGACTGACAGAGCAGCTAACTTGTTTTGGAAATCTGCATGCTAATTAAAAAAGGCAAGGTTCACCCCCCCAAAAAAGGAGCTTGGACCTTGTGCAAGCATTACGTGTTACTCGAAACACGGCGCCAAGCTTGTGCAACGGCACGGCCAGATCCAGACTCTACTAAAAACTAACATTCCATGGGTGCAATTAAGTTTTTCTTTTTTTACTCTCTGAGGAAACGGCACTGCGTTTCACATTAAAGCGAAACCACAGCCAGGCTGCTCTAACAGTAGAGATTCCAAAGCAATGTGGATGAAAAGACGTGCTGTCTCAACTCAGTCCATCGTTTCAATATGTAGAAACATTCCTTATGGAATGAATGAATCATGGTGTCTGTGTGTGTGTGTGTGTGTGCGTGTGTGTGTGTGTGTGGTTGTGTGTGTGTGTGTGTGTGTGTGTGTGGTTGTGTCTACCTGTCCATCAGATTTATTCAACCTGGCATTTGTAAATCCTGGATAATATATTAGTAATAATATAGCCTAAAGGGTTCTTTGGTTGGTTCCTCCTGATTGACCCTTAAATGTTCTGTGTGAAACCTGGGGTTCTCTTTCAGAAAAGGTTCCACCTAGAACCCTTTTAGCCTTTTCCTGTCCAATGAACCCTTGAGGAACAACTTTTTTTTTTTTTTTCTGAGAATGTACACGTATTCACTAATACTGTATCTTCATGACGACTTCTCTATGAGCTCACTCACTATTTTAAAGCGTGTCTGGCTTTTTAGACACAAAATATCAGAAATTTATCCACTGATTTTATTAGAAAAATAAACTGTCTCCATGCCAACAACTCCCAAAAGTCTTAGGCAGTGAAAATATTTTGAATACAGGCAGATTTTCGTGTAATTGCGAACGTTTGCCTCCACCCATGGATGCAGTTAAAATTAACCTCTGTGTTAAAAATGATTTACGAAACAATAAATGTCAAAATCTTTTGAACTGACATCACTTCTTAACTATTCATATTTTAACACAAATTATTTGAACTTTTTTTTTTTAAACTATTTTGTTACTAGAGATTAAGAAATGTCTGTGAAGCCTAACGCATTTAATCACTTAAATGTAAATTACATTTCTGTAATGTCTTTATTTTGTCCTAAAAGTATACAAACTTTTACACTCAGCTGCACCTAATATGTTTTGTTACATGATTTTTATAAAATAATTACAAGGAGATTCAACGTATTTCTAGATATTTGTCCTCGAATATTATTCCATTGGCACAAAATTGAATCGAATAAATAAGGAATAAAACACTTGGGAACATGCAGTTATAGGAAAATAATTAACACAGAGGTAGTGTGATGCAGCCTGACACAAAATGGAGTTACTTTTACCACTCCAGAGTTGATTATTTTCCATTAACGTTATGTCCCGAAGTGTGTTATACCACAGCAATTTGCCAATGCTACAGTTTTCTCGCTTCTGAAAAAAAAAACAAGCAGCTATAAAGTGCAAACGTTCCTCTGTCCTGAAGACTTTCCCATACTGAAAATGTTAGTGACTGTTACAAAGCACTGACACTGGAGACTCCTTCCAGAAATGTTTATTATTAGAGTTGATATGATGTGGAACTTCCTCAACACACAATAAGTTTGTGTGTAACTTGTTACTATAGCACTATACCTACTACTAAATGAATTTAATCAGCACCTTCTGACCAATCAGATGCGAGAATTCGACAGCATTGTGGTATAAGGCAATTTTAAATGTGAAATTACCCAAAAATACATTTTCCTGTATTCAAGACTCAAAAAGTCATTTGACTTTTCTGCAGGAAAAGCGCAGGGCCTCGTAATACCCAAGCCCACTTCTACTTAGTTCAATCGAAAGTCTTTAAGCCGGATGAAGCCTCTCGTTAAAGAGACGGACAGGCCATGACGGTTTTGAGCGGAAGCCTGTGTTTTTGCAGTGCTGATGAAACGAGGTTGTTCCCATGCCCTTTCTCTTTGAGCGTGTCATACTGTAGGATGTTTGGACTGTAACTTTAAACTAGAACAAGTCACACCGGCCAAAACCCCTCCTCCTTTCTGTCAGCGCTAACGTTAAAGAACTTTAACATTACTCCTTTTTCCAGACCCCAGTCAGCAGCTGTATAAATGAAATAGCAATGAGTCACCAGCACATAGCACAGGACGAATGAATGAGCTCGAGTCCCTATTAAACGTTTGAGTTTCTCTGAAACAACTTCCAAAACTATCAATGCTGGTCTAAAATTACGCTCTTAGTGAGCCGGTGACGCCATGCGGCCGTTTGAAAGGCTGAATGTGGTCACTCTGAGGGTTCTGTAAAGTAAATGTAGGTACAGTACGGCTTTACTTTTAGGGTGTGACAACTTCTGAAGTTTTTACATGGCTGGCGTGTTTGTGGAGGGTTACCTTCGAAAAGCTGCGCATACTGCGGGAAACCTGCAGCTCGGAGCCACTCACAAGCTTCCTTTGCTTCGATCTCTGCAACAGGAAAAAAAAATCTTTTGAAATTCATACACAACACTTGACCGCAAAGCTGTTATTCATGGATAATTTTGCAACTGCAGTGAAAAATTCCATTGAGATTAAAATCATATTCATTGTCAGTTCAAAAATAATCATTTGAATTATGAATTAAAATTTTGCTCATTTAAAGCCATTTTACACTGTTGTTCATGACACGTACACAAGCCCTTTCTGACCTTTCTAACAAACATCATTAAGGCTTATAACAACTTGTGTCAACTATCATAAAA